GACAGAAGGGGGCCCAGCATGCTCACAATATCATATCTATAATTCACAGGTCTAAAGACAGAAAGGGGCCCAATATTTACAATATAATCTCTATAATTCACAGGTCTAAAGACAGAAGGGGGCCCAGCATGCTCACAATATCATATCTATAATTCACAGGTCTAAAGACAGAAAGGGGCCCAATATTTACAATATAATCTCTATAATTCACAGGTCTAAAGACAGAAAGGGGCCCAATATTTACAATATAATCTCTATAATTCACAGGTCTAAAGACAGAAAGGGGCCCAATATTTACAATATGATCTCTATAATTAACAGGTCTAAAGACAGTAGGGGGCCCAGCATGCTCACAATATAAACTCTACAATTCACAGGTCTAAAGACAGTAGGGGGCCCAGCATGCTCACAATATAAACTCTACAATTCACAGGTCTAAAGACAGAAGGGGGCCCAGCATGCTCACAATATCATATCTACAATTCACAGGTCTAAAGACAGTAGGGGGCCCAGCATGCTCACAATTTAACTTGGAGGGTCGAGCCCCGGAAGCCTGGGAGTATGTAGGTGGCGGAAGGGGGCCCAATTAGAATGACGAACTGGACCGACCCCAACGATTACACGACGAGGGGCCCTGAGAGCACGAGCACACTTCTGATTCCAGAGAACACGGCCTGGCTGCCGTACGTGGGGCTGGTGATGACGGTCTTGTGTTGGCTGGGGTACGACTTCTTCAGGGTGAGTAGCTTGTTGGCTGGGGTACGACTTTTTTAGGGTGATTAGATTTTGTGTTGGCTGGGGTACGACTTCTTCAGGGTGAGTACATTTTTTATGTTGGCTGGGGTACGACTTTTTCAGGGTGAGTTGGATTTTTTCTGAGTGAGTAAACTTTTAAGTTAGTATGACGTTCGTGCTGATATTATCAGGGTGAGTAGGTTTTTACTTTGATACAACGTGCATGCATGTGTGTTGCCTGATATATTTGTTACAAAACGATATTAATTTTGTTAACAAAAACTGAAATTCATATTCTTTCAGCTAATCTCAATTTAGAAACACAGCTATGTAGGTTTAAAAATTATAATTTTTTATATTTTAGTTCCACAGGAAAAACAAAATCAAATACGCTAGGGTCGAGGAACATAGGACCATACTTAGGGCTTGCCCGATAAAACAGAGGATCAGTATGGTTTCTGGGATAGGGCTAAAGTTTAAACGTGGTAAGTTACAACATCAGTATGGTGTTTGGGATAGGGCTAAAGTTTAAACGTGGTAAGTAACAAGATTAGTGTGGTTTCTGGGATAGGGCTACAGTTTAAACGTGGTAAGTTACAAGATCATGTGATGTGATAGGGATTAAGTTTGAAAGTAACATGAATATTTGTATGGTGTCTGGGATAAGAAAGACGTTTACATGGTGATATTACCCAGATCGTGTATGTAACACTGAATCTATTAAGTGAATTGGTTACATCTTAATAAATAATAGGGTTAGTAAAGAAGAGGAAACCATAATATATATAACCACATTGAAATAAAATAAGAACTCAATCACTCTTATTTCTTACTATAAAAAACAAAATGAAAACGTCTTGAACAAAAATGAAACAAACAAGTGATATTTTTTTCTGTCCTTATAATGATCAAAAGCTAGGTAGTTTTTATATTTTCACGTGTTAGAAGTACCTACATATAGTGTTGTACCTTCTCCCCCCTCGGGTAGTTTTTATATTTTCACGTGTTTGAAGTAGGCCTACCTACATATAGTGTTGTACCTTCTCCCCCCTCAGGTAGTTTTTATATTTTCACGTGTTAGAAGTACCTACACATAGTGTTGTACCAACTCCCCCCTCAGGTAGTTTTTATAGTTTCACGTGTCTGAAGTACCTACATATAGTTGTACCTTCTCCCACAGGCAAACCTGTCCTAGGGGACGTCTGGAATACCTCTCCATCGTCGTCTGACGTCTCTAGTTACTGCTCACCTGTCAGGTAATTCTACGCGGACTTACCTGAGCACCGAATGGCACTAAAATCTACACCTGAATTCAAGTTTCACTGAACTGCATTTTATTTTCTAGTCAAAAACACCTGTTTTTAGCCGAGACTGTTATTGATCTTAGGCTAGTCTTTTAAATAGTGAAGCTGTATTTAAAATTTCATAATATTAAAAAATGGATAATTTCCAATCATATAATACTTTTAACTACGGCATGCTTAGGATTTAGTTATGAAAAAAACGCCCTCAGTTGCCATAAAAAAGAGCTTCTTACCACCAAACTATTATCTCACAGCAAATTCAAAACATTAATACCTAATATATGGACGAAAATTGTAAGAAAAATCATCCAGTTTTAATTATTTTGATTTTAAAAATATAGTTGCACCTGTTACTGATTATCTCATTCCAATAGTCAGCATTAATGATTCTCTCATCCCAAATTTCAGCATAACTGATTCGCTTATCCCAAATTTCAGCATTACTGATTCCCTTATCCCCATTGTCGATATTACTGATTCTATGATTCCTTTAAATTATTACTAAGATCATCTGTATTTTTTTTTCAAACATCTGACTAGTATTTTCTCTATCTCGCAATTATTCTTACCAGAGTTTTTTCCAGGCATTTCTACCGCTCCCCCCCGAACGAAATTAAGTTTATATTGAAAATATATACTTTTAACAGTGACCCCCCCCCCCCCCCCCCGAAAATTTCAAGTGCCCCCCCCCCCGGAAAAAAAAAGTCTGGAAGAAGCACTGATTCTTACTCCCCTTAAAATGAGCTAGCTTTTCATGACTTTTATTGTTTTTAACACATCAAGCATTGGTAGCCGTGTTAACACGCCATTTTGACCCCCCCCCCAGGCACGGACACAACAGCGCGTACAGCCGGGAGGTGACGCCCTCTGATGACGGTGCCGGAGGGTACTCTGAGAACGAGATCTACACCCTGCCGGATGCCAACTCTGTCGAGTGCCTGACGGACACGCACGAGGAGACGCCGGAGAGGACCGTGTGGCAGATGGGTGGGGAGTATCTAGCAGGTGTGTGGGATGTGTGTGTGTGGGAGGGGGTGGCTGTGTGTGGGGGGATTGGCTGCGTTTGTGGGGGGTGGCTGTGTTTGTGTGTCTGTGGGATGGCTGTGTGTGAGTGTTGGATGGCTGTGTTTGTGTGTGTGTGGGATGGCTGTGTTTGTGTGTGTGGTATGTCTGTGTTTGTGTATGTGCGTGGAGAGGACCGTATTTGTGTGTGTATGTGTGGGATGGCTGTGTTTGTGCGTGTGTGTGTGGGATGGCTGTGTCTGTGTGTGTGTGGAATGGCTGTGTCTGTATGTGTGGGGGATGGCTGTTTTTGTGTGTGTGTGTGTGAGGATGGCTACATGTAGGGTATATGTATGTGGGGGTGGCTACATGTATCATATATGTGTGTTGGTGGATGGCTACCACTGTGGAGATATCTGTATATGTACACAGAAACCAGCTTAACCAGATTAGAAATCAAAGTAAAAGTCGAAAATTTAGTTTATTGTTTATGTTAAGTGAGTTTGTTTTGTTTACACAGACATCCAGCCGAACCACACAGAAAGCGAAAGTAAAAGTAGAAAACTTATCTACTGTTTTAGTTCAACTAGTTTATTTTGTTTACACAGACATCCAACCTAACCACACGGGAAACGAAAGTAAAAGTAGAAAAATTAGTCCACTTTTTATGTTCAGTTACTTTGTTTTGTTTACACAGACATCCAGCCAAACCACACGGGAAACGAAAGTAAAAGTAGAAAAATGAGCTACAGTGCTGGTAGTGACACTGATCTAGAGGGGCAGCGCCTCAACGTCCGGACCCCTGAGTCCACGTCATCATCCACCACCATCACCCCGGGCACCGCCACCACACCCACCGCGGAGAACAAGTCCACTGATGGGGCGAAGACCATGGGGGCAGGGGGAGGGGTGGATGACGGGGGAGGTGGGAAAAGAGGTAAGGCTCAACGATTAGAACATTTTTTTTTAAAACTTAACAAAAAAGATGTTTAAAATCTTAAAATACTTTATTCTTTTTGTAGTTAATCATTATTTTAGATTAGAATATATTATTTTAGAAAAAATAAATCAAGTTTTTCTTTGTACCATATTTTATAACAAAATAAATTTTCCTACTACTTTTAACTGTTTCTAACCTATTAATGTACGTATTTACAAAAAAAAAAAAAAAAAAAAAAACCTTATTTTATTTGGTAAACATAATCATTTATTTTCTTTTAAATTCTTTGAAAGTTTTTTTTTTTTTGTTTTACTAAAGGGAAGCAACCAAACAATTATAGTTTTTAGAGGCTAAATTATATTTATAATGTACAAATTATCCATACTAAATTTGTGCAGAAAATTCGTAATAAAAAATTGTATTTAGAAAATTTTTCAAAATCTGTATCTGAAATTATTTTAAGCAACAAATTATTACTTAATATAAAATTGATTTTCAAATATGTATGAAAAGTAATATGCTAGATATCGCTGAATATTTTTAAGGAGTTATCAATTCGATTTCTTTCGTTTAGTCTTAAGTAGAGCCTACTTCCAGCGTTGAGTTGCTTTAACAGTATACGAACCCTAGCTATGCTTCTACTCTTTAACTTCACACAAAAAAAAACCAAAAAAAAAAAACCAAAAAAAAAAAAAAAAAAAAAAAATTAACATCTGAAGATCTTATTTTAAAATAACTGTATAGTTAGAAGATACTTTAAAATGATTCAGCCAAATGAAGATAGCCAAGAAGTTCAAAATGATGCTGTAAATCCAACAGAGGAGCTGATTCCTGAAAGAAAAATCACTCAGACTGATCACGTTAATAGCAAACTTCTTAAGGCATTTTTGAGTCGGCTAAACCAGAATGACAATACTGTTGCATTTGGACTCAATGCTCCATCTGCAGATTTAGAAGAGGTGGATAGTTCCGAAAATTCTGATTTTGATAATTTGATTCATCTGAAAATTGTGCCAATAATCATGATAATGACAGTGAAGACAAAAAGGACTAAAGTGAAGTACACAGTTTGAATTGACTTTTTTCTTGAAGTATCATTGACTCTCTACCTTGTCAGGCCAATTTAAACCATAGATATATTTTAACATTCCAGTTCAATATAAGGCATGGGAAAAATGAAGAAATATTTGATTTTTGGGCTTGGTGGAATTACTAATAGTGGAAAATCAACGATTGCAGCAATGTTGTGTAAAAATCTACCATTTGTTGAAGTTATGTGCCAAGATGATTATTTTTTGGATCCAGATGATGCTCAAATTGAAAGAGATGAAGATGGCGTTCGAAACTGGGAGAAACTAAGTGCTTTGAATATGAACAAGATGACAAGTGATGTCGAGACCTGGATAGCAAAACACAGCAGTAAAGTTTCAGACCAGATATCTGTTCTAGTCATTGAAGGATTTCTCATCTTTAATCACAGTAAACTTTCATCCCTAATGGATTATAAGTACTTCATTCAAATAAACCAAGAAACATGTAAGGAACGTAGAATAAAACGTGTGTACGTACCCCCAGATCCTCCCAGTTATTTTGAAAACTATGTGTGGCCAATGTACCTGGATAATTTGGAAGCAAATACTGATAAAGATGACATTGAATTTATAGATGGCATGTTAGATTTAAACACATTGTTTAGTGAAATCTTACAACGGATCAATTCAGCAATAGAGACAACAGCATCTTGTATTGGAAAATAGCCAGTCAGTCAGCTCATATAGTTCATATGCAAAGCTACATTCTTAATTTGTTAATTTTATTTGATAATCATACATAACATTTTTCTGTAAACTATTTTTAATTAAAGTTGATTGTTATTGCTGATGGACATTATTAAAAATATTAAAATTGTTTATATATAACTAAAAAAAAAAATAAAAAAATCTAGCAAATAAAAAACATTTTTGCATGCCGTGTCGATTATTATTCCAACTCTTAAAACTGAAAGAGTGTTCAGTAAACAGTGATCTCTTTGTGGCTTCAAATACTACTCTATTCAATCAAAATTGAGCTTACTGTAAATTATTTCTTTGCGATTGGAAAATAATTAAAACACCTGTCTAACACTGTGGTATTTTTAAATTACTAAATTTGTTTTGATAATAATTGACTCTTTACTTTAATATCTCTATCTTTGATTTTTGTTTTGTTTTTGAATTGACAATTATTATAGAATAATTTACCTAAAATATAGATATCGTTTATTTTTCGCTTGTGATTTGGAAATTATTGACAAATCTCTCTGTAATATCTAAATCTTTAACCATTATATTTTATTTGAGTTATTGACATACCTACCTAAAACATCGATACAGTTTACTTTTTGTTTGTGATTTGGAATTTATTGAGAAATCTGTCTGTAATATCTATACCTTTAACCATTTCATTTTATTTGAGTTATTGACATACCTACCTAAAACATTGATATAGTTTACTTTTTGTTTTTGTGATTTGGAAATTATTGACAAATCTCTCTTTAATATCTATATCTTTAACTATTTTTATTTTATTTGAGTTATTGTCAAAAAATATAGTTTACTTTTTGTTTGTGATTTGGAAATTATTGACAAATTATTGACAAATCTGTCTGTAATATCTATATATTTAACCATTTCATTTTATTTGAGTTATCGCCATACCTGCCTAAAACATCGCTATTTTTAACTTTGATGGCTTAATTCTCAAGCTGTTGTGCACGGCTGTGACTTAACCCAGTCCAATGACACCTGTAATCTTGGCCCGAGCTACTAATGAGTACTAATCAAGTACTAATGAGAAATTTAATTTCTGCCTTTCTTATACCCAGCTGCCATCTGGGCATATGCCCTGCGGCCCGTATCTTTGCTAGGGAATCTCTGGCTTTCCTTCCCCTCCCGCTCCACCATATGTCTGCTCCACCCAGGAGGTAAGAACCAGAGAGATTTTACTCACGCCGACACTGTTTCTGTGGAACAGTTGGTGATGTGTTTTATTTTCAGGGACCGGGAGGTCACAGGTCAAGGTCATGTTTAGCGGAATAACAAAACGAACGTTAATTATTTTAAAATCAATGATGTTGATTAGCCATGCCTTTGTTTTCATAGCGGGCTTATCAATAACAATACATTTGCTACCTGATTTATGCATTTGTGAGTGGTTTCCGACATAGCTTGAGAATAAGCTATTATAAAATGTCTTTATATAATAATTATACTGAAAGTTGATTCCATTTTATGTTGATGTATTATGTATTGTTATTCACGATATTAACCCACAGAAATAAAGGCATAGCTAATAAGAAAAACACAATAACGAAGACGAGTTTAACGAGTTCATCAATTTAATTTAAAACCAAACTCATCAATGTCTTGGATTCTATAATGATTGTTTTCTTTATTTCAGGAAAAGCTGGGATTGTATCCAAGCAAGACGCATCCACTCAAACTGACTACGAGGATGTTCTGTTTAACATGACAACAGGGGAGCCCATCCAATTTCCATATACTTACTACAATCCATCCTCCTACAAAAACGCATACAGGCGTCGGGAAAGCGTCGACCGCGGCAGTAAAACGCTTCCGGCGTACTTCCGGAGCGGGCTGGCGTCTGATCAGTGCGACCCGCCTGTGGTGATCGACTTCACGCGACCCCACGCACCCCGCGATGACCAGTCGATTGATTCGCTGGGCAACCCGGCTCCTAAAAGAGCCGAGAAAAGACTACCGTCGTTGAGATTGGATTTGCTGGCCGCGCCAAGATCACCTACTACAGAGCTAGTGGCGAAGGACCACGGGTTCGCTCTAGAAGGCGTTGAAGTTCCTCATTACCCAGGCGGTGGATCCCGTTCCTTGCCGTCTAGCGGTAGTGATATCTTCAAATCAGCGTCAGAATCGCGACGAGAAAGTAAAGCTTCGATTAAACCTCTGACCCCCTCACCGGCTGTGATATCCCGGATACACAGCCCCCACACGGCACCCGTGAGACAAACCAGCGGTCACCACCATCACCATCACCACCATCACCACCGCCATCGGAGACCCGAGTCTCTAGACTTCATGTTGAACGTCCCCCCATCCCAGCCCCCGCCTAGTAAAAAGTCATCAGCTCTTCCACCCCGTTCATCGCGAGCTCAATCGTCGTCGCCTCGCGGGGCTAAAGAACTAGAAAAGCACGGTCTAAAATTACCCGCGGACCTCCAAGAACCCAGATCGGCTCCGATTCCCAAACACATGTACCACCAAGACGAAGAGGGGTTCTTCTCATCCTCACATTCCTCTTCTTACAATACCAGCCGCGTGTATCAGCCGGACGGGGACAGTTCGAGAAAAGGAATTTTGTTTTTCAGTCGCCTGTCTGGCGCAGGCAGAAACAACAGCAACAGCGGAGGCTTCGGCGACCAGAGCGGTGGAAGTGCCGGTGGGGCCATGTATGGCGCGTTTGGCAAGTCCGGCTCATACAGGAGCGGTGGGTTCGAATCCTGATGAGTAATGTGAAAGTAGACGCTTTGTACTGAGATTTATTTTACGTTTTGTAATGTTATTATTGCGAGTATACAATTGCAGACTATAGCAAAATAGTTATACGTTGTTGATACTTAAGATATTGGAAATCGGAAGTGTTGGGTTAGATTGGGTTAGGCTGTCGCCCCTCCTGAGACATAGGCCGCTGAAAAGAGCTTTCCAGGCATCTGTTTTCATGGGCTATTCTCTCCAACTGTCCCCAGGTGTATCCAGGTGTATCCAATCTTCTTGGTGTCCTCTTCCAGGTCACGTCTCCAGGTCTTCCTTTTCCCTTTTGCCCTGTGGATTCCAGGTGAGGGCCTGTCTTGTTATGCTGGATACAGACTTCCTGCGTGTGTGGTCAATCCATTTCCATTTTTTTCTGGAGATCTCTTCATCAGCTGGCAGTTGTTTTGTCTGTTGCCATAGTAACATATTTCTGATTGTGTTAGGCCAGTGTTTACCAAGGATATTTAATCTACATGATTTTAATGTTTTAACAGTAACTTACACAGTGCAAGAGAAATAACTTCAGTAATAAAGTATAGTTTGATAAGAGGTCACATATTATAAGTAGCTACATTGCCAGTATTATATGTATAAGCATTAAGGCATACTACAATTGGAATTGGATATACACCGAAAACACATATTTCAAGGAAGTCAACAACAAGATCGTAATACATTTCATTGCCTGTCTTATTCGTAGAGAAGTTACAGGGAATAAAAGAGTTGGGATTTAGTTTACAAAAACATCCTAATGATATGAAAGCAATAAACTAAAGCAAAACTTAATGTTACTTCATGTCTAGGGATTGGCTATACTTCAGGTGTAGGGATTAACAAGATTTAAGTTCAAGGTATTGACTAGACTTAAAGTCTAGGGATTGACTAGTTTTAAGGTCAAGGGATTGACAAGACTTAATCCAAGATGCTATGCATTCAAGGACAAATTTATGACCAAGAAATTGCATAACTTCGTTCTTTCTTACTGATTAATATACACACAGACCCCCCCCCCCACTCACATACAGGCACTCACACACACAGGCACTCACGCAAACACAAACAATTTTCTGGGGAATCAAATTTAGAGACCATTTTATCCTCATTAAACACCGATCTAAACCCACACGACAATAAGTTGTGTATGTCTTGTGTGTTTGAGACAGTTTTTTTCTTCTGTGAATTTGTTTATGTCTTTTGTGGTTTGTGTAAATCGTTTCATCTATATTTTTGATTATCTCTGTTTACCTCTGTTTATCTCTTCATTAATTTGTTATGTAAATAGGACACCTGTTTCATTTGTGATAAACTTTTTATGTTAAAACTACAATATTTTTGTTTTACTAATTATTTCAAAACAAAATCATTCTTAATTAATTAATTAATTAATTAATTAATTCATCTCTCCGCCAATTTACCAACAACTGGCCATGCCTACTTTATCAAAAATTGTAAATATTTTTCTGGATATGGACACGATGCGTCAACTTCTATTTTATAACCTAGGTCAAGTTTATAACATGGGTATAGTTTATAACCTAGGTCTAGTTTGTAACATGGGTCTAGTTTATAACCTGTGTCTAATTTATAATCTAGGTCTAGTTTATGACATGGGTCTAGTTCATAACCTGGGTCTAATTTATATCCTGGGTCTAGTTTATAACCTGGGTCTAGTTTATACCCTGGGTCTAGTTTATAACCTGGGTCTAATTTATATCCTGGGTCTAGTTTATAACTAGGGTCTAGTTTATAACCTGGGTCTAATTTATATCCTGGGTCTAGTTTATAACCTGTGTCTAGTTTATAACTAGGGTCTAGTTTATAACATGGGTCTAGTTTATAACATGGGTCTAGTTTATAACCTGGGTCTAGTTCATAACCTTTGTCTAGTTTATACCCTGGGTCTAGTTTATAACATGGGTCTAGTTTATAACCTGTGTCTAGTTTATAACCTGGGTTTAGTTTATAACCTGTGTCTAGTTTATAACCTGTGTCTAGTTTATATCCTGGGTCTAGTTTATAAGCTGGCTAGAAATCTACTAGCTAGTAATTTATTGATAAATAACGAACTTATACGGAAAGAAAAAAAAGGAATAAATTAGTTAATTATGGTGCTTTCCTAAATTGTTATTTAACTATTTTAAATCTCACTCTACAAAACAGAATAGCATAAAATACAGCGCTGAGATATTTCTCCAATTGTATTTCTAATTTCATGTTATCGAGTTTTTAGGCTTGATTGGTGTGGGGCTAATGACTGTAAACACTCTAATTTTTATTAGTCAGTTTTGATAATTTGAAGTTTAAGTTTAAAAAAAAAAGATTATTCCCTATATTTGATTGAACTTGAAAACATGGTAATTATATGTGTACATACATTTACAAGTCAAATTAGTAAAATATATTGCACCAATATTGTTACACGCTTTCTAAATACTTTAATAACTTAAAATAAATAAAAATTCTATAGTAACTATAGTGCCAATATAGGCTTAAATACACTTTACGAATTAGAACCCTTAATACTACATTAAAAGTTTATTATTTATTTTAAACTGGACGGTAATTAAATAAGCGTTTTCATATTACTTTCTGTTTGCAGTCAATCAGTTTACTAGTATTGAAACCCAGTTTTTAAATACTAAAAGAGAAACTTAAAATTAAAATAAAAACATTATTTATTCCTATTTAAAGCACTTCATGGTTTGTTAGATTTAAATTACAAAGTTTAAATTAAACTTTTTAAATAAAAAAAAATGTAAATGTTTAGTATCCAGAAATCACAATTTAAAATGTTCTGATCTTCTATTTACTAGATATCACTTTCTGTAGTAATATCAGTTTAACCAAGTTTTTTTTATTGTAATAGATATTATTAAGTAAATAGCATTTAGCAATTCCTCAGGAACATGGTATGCAATTTGATTACAAGGCAAAGAATACATACAAATGTTACTATTTGCAAACTCATTAAAGTATTTTCTATCCGTTTCCAGTTTTTGTATGCAAACCGAATTGTATTAACATTTTTGAAAACCTAGTTGTTCTTATTATTGTATATTGGATTAATTTACCTTTTTTTAAAATTTTGTATTTCTAAAAATGAAATCTCGACAATCACAAATATTTTCCACATTATCATTCATTCCTTTTTAAATTCCTTAGCATAAAATGTGTAAAATTCCATTGTAATTCGCAAATATGCATGTATAAAATAATTGTAATTATTTTGAATTGTTCATATACTTACAAATATGTATAGAAAATATGCAAGAATGTTTTTAACGTGAGAGCTATTGTGTGATTTTTTTTCTTCCAAAATTTAACTCTAAAATCTTTAACAAATTCCTTTCATTGTTGTTTTCGTAATTTAGAATGACCCATACATTAGCACTACATGAATCTATGTCTAGCGTTAGATTGACTTCTGAGAGTTATTCCTAGAGAAGGACACCGAACCATTGTTGTCTTTCATAAGCATTTTATTTATTATCTCTTACGTGTTGAATTATGCAAATTATTTTATTGTTTGTTTCTTATGTTTTCACAGTGGATAACTTTGTAATAATAAAGTATGCAATTTGCTCAAAATTTAAAGAATTTCAGTGGTTATCCTTAATGTTGTGATGATTTTATTATATTTTTATATTTTTTATTGTTTTACGTTATGCTTTTATAAATTTAACTTTTAAAATTATTTTTGTTGTTTCATCTGCATCTAGCTTCTTGTAGGTACGCCGAAAAACAACAGTACGTTTTTTCGTCCACGTCGCCCAAATATAGTATCTTTCCACTAATTTCACTAAGTGTAAACATAATGTCAATGCAAGATACTCCAGCTACTCAGCTTAAATTACTTCCTGGTAGTTTTTTTTTTTCGTTACTCTAATAATTTTTAACTCCCTAAGTAGGGTAGTGAAGTGAGGAAGTTAAAAAAAAAAAAAACCTAGTCTGTTGCACATTTTCTTAAGGTCTGACCACGTCGATCCAGCCTCTCCATTCTCATTTTCAAATGTATTTTCACTATTAGGTTACGTGACCTTTCCCACCTCGTGGTTAATGGGCTAGTTGAAGTAGAGTTTACCTGATCAGAGACCTGGTCAGCCGCGAGGCAGGTTTACATAGGAGCATGGTGTACCAAATTACGTTCAGGATCCGAACTTGAGACTTTCGGGCAGTTTCTTCCAGGCATCTCTTCGCAACGAAATGAATTTTATATAGAAAATATATACTTTTAACAGTGTCCGCCCCCCCCCCAAGAAAGTCTACCGCCCCCCCCCCCCCAGAAAATTTCAAGTGTCTGGAAGAAACATTGCTTTCGGGTGAGCAGTCGCATGCTCTGCCCTCAGACCATGTGGCGACAGTTATTGGCGGTAAGAAGATTAATCAGCACAACGTACTATTAAAACTTGATATTAATACTTCTCTTAGCAAGTGCATTACTTTTGATTAAACTTACATTAAACTTTGATATTGATACTTCCCTGACCAATAGACCTACTTTGGAAACTTAGAGAACTATGTTGACTGTAGCCAACGGTTGCAGCCGTTAGGTTCTTCAAAAAGTGTTTAAAAACATGTTACTGATAAACTTACTTTAGTATTGAAAAAGGGAGGTAAGCAAGCGTAACAAATTAGACCGATTATCATGAGTTTTGTCCCTTGAAGAATAATACATGAGTTACATAAACCCGTTTTTGTTTTCAAATTAATTTTTAAAAAAATCTAACCTTTTAGAATAGTTTTTTTTTTCTTTCGTTATTGCACGCTGAATCACAATAAACTTTATCGACATATAAGTCGTTAGATAACACGATAATTTTATACCGTCTATAGCAGATTTGCTCTAGTAGTGTCATACGTTTAAACTGTTACTTCTTGTTATTATGTTAGTCAAATGGAAAGAATTGCATTATGTTATATTTATGTTATTTTGGTTAGCGTGTCGCCCCTCTTCTGACATACGTCACTGATATTATTTCTACACATCTTCAGACGGCTGTTGGTTTATCTGTTGCCATAGCACCTCCATTCCGGTGGTGTTACGCCAGCATACTCA